TGGGATAGACCAAGCGACGAATATCCACGACGAACAATACAACGAAACACATCAGCGCTTTTCAACATCAACACAACACAAGGCACAAAATTGACCTACAATCATATCAATAGAGGTCATCCAACACTTTAAAACAAGAGTAATTAGGGAGGCCCTAGAAATCGAAGCAATGTATTAACTACAGGGGAATAACACTCCTAAACACCACCTACAAAATCCTTGCAAACATCCTGCTAGAAAGAACCAAAACATACACAGAAGAATCAAAAGACTGATATTTTTTTCTACACACTTATGACAAGTTGAAAGAAAATGCAAAAAAGTATTTTTGAAGTGTGTATATTTTAGGCAATTCCTAGCTGAGCGCTTTCGGCTTTACAAAGCCATCATCAGAGCTATGGTCAATTTTTTAAATACCACTACAAAGGAGAGATCTCATTTCCTTATATTTCAAAAATAATGATTTTTTTAGTTGTTGAAATTTGTTAAAACATATAAAAAACATATAAAAATGTAGACTATTCTGTCTACATCCTCACATCAATCAATGGTCGGGTTCTTACACCCGTACCATGACAAAAATTTTTTCAATTTTTTAACGTGTTTGTGAAGTCCAGTGTCGGCTTTTTCGCCCATTTCGAGTGGTGAATGGGTTTTTATTGATATGAGTTTGAATGCTCGAATAAATGAACTTTGAAAATTAAGGCAATTATATCGAGCACGAGTTTAATCAAATCTTGCCCTAGTACTTTCGCTTAATATAGCATCTTCAGGGGCATTTCGTCAAATATGGACTATCCAGCAATCGTAGAATGTAATAAACATAGATGATAACATAAAATTGTACAAACACTACACTAGAACAAGGACAAACAGTTTAAAATTAATCAAAATAGTTCTATGTTAAATTCTTTGGCAGTAACAGGAGAGAGAATGGGTTTTAGGCTGGATGAAAGAAACATGGTAAACATAATGTTGAGATGAAAGAAAGAATTGAGAGAAGTACACTGTCTGCTTTCTGGGGCAATGATGAAAAAGGAGCAAGACAGAGGAGGAAATTGAACCAGGGATTTGAAATTTATGGTTATTGATGTACTGGTACTGATTAACGGTAATAGGCATGGTCATTCATAAGTTTTTAGTTTTTATTTTAGTTGTTCATTGAGTGGCAAGACCACCTCCTGGAACAGTGGTTAAGGTTTTAGCCGGAACACTGCTAATTTGACACTACCCTGGGGACTTCTGGCCTAGTATCCTACTCTGTCTTGATTCTCTGTGAAGTTAGATGTCCAAAAAAGATTTCCCTCACCGTTTCCTGTCATAATTCAATGGATATCTTCTTAGGTTAGTACTGGAATCTGGCAATACGGCAATTAAAAATAAAAAAAAAGTTGATGCAAACCCTCTTTAGAGATATTTTTGGGTATGAAAGAAAAAAGGATTCAAAATTTGATATCAGCTGAATTTAAAATGTTAATCTGAACTGATCTGTAGTACCTACATCTTTTGTAATTACAAATCTCCATGTTAAAAGTGTTTGATGTTTCAGCAATATTACTTTCAACATCTTCACAAAAAAAAAACATAAAATACCATAGTTACAATATCTCTTCTCAGTTGTTTTCTCTTTCAAATTCACTATAATTATTTCAAAGTTGTAACATAACAGGTCACAATGCGTTGAAAGATTGAAGATCTGAATACAATTTTTTTAGGGTTTTTGAAGCAATTTTAGGATCATTGTAAAGACTAATGTTGCAGTATCATCGACAAAAATTTCTGTTCCAGTGTATAGTACATAAGACACATAAAACAATTGTACTTAAAAATCAATCAGTAATGAAGATTCCACACTTACTATAGCGAGTACATTAAAACTGGTGGGACAATGCTTTAAAAGTACCACCTTATTTGTTGATTTCTCTTGTTATTATAAACTTAGTGACTAAAATTAACTTTATTTAAAGTAACTTTATTTATTCATATCCATACATCTATAATAGAACAGATGGAATAGAGATGTACAAAAATTGTTTTGAAATTAATTAGTAAGGTGATTTTGTTGTTAGTTTGTTGTGCCTCTTGAAGTGTGTTTTGTGATATATTTACATCTGTATACTGGGTTGCTTATCAGTTTTTTTTCCTATTTATTAGAGTAAGTCTTTTGTGAAACAATGTGAGGTTTGTAGCTGTGGATGCTATTTCGCTAAGGACAATTTTTGTGAGATGGGATTAATAAACTGTATAAAATCAATCCTACCTTTGTCTGTTTTACAAGTGGGTGTTTTTTGTCTTATAATGTGAAAATAGTGGGTTTTTGCCAGTATATCAGTTTATTTGACAGGGAGTTAATGTTGATAGAAGCCAACAATTTGGTGGCAAGTATTTTCTTGGAGTGTGCTGAATACATTACAGAGAGAAGATGTTCTGGTTTTCAGATATTCATCTATTAGTTGTGGATTTCTTGTAAATGAAAAGAGAGTTGTAGGTGTTGTGTCAAAATTTTAAGTTTTCTACACTTATGCTTCCAAGGTATCATTAAGATTATTCTTTCTTCTAAGCTAAGATTCAATAGGCGCGCTACTGCTGATTACCCTTAGTTATACAAGCACAGGAAGAATTAATTATGCTCAAACTTAATTCAAATTTGCAGAGTGTACAGATCAATACTTGATTTGGAAACTGTCAAAGTTTCAGTTTGCAATATTTACAATAAACTAGTCTGTTAGTTAAATTTTATCTCCAGTACCAGTAGTCACAGAAATCTTTTTTAATTGATATTAGGCGAAACAATATTGCAACCAATAAAAAGTGGACATCTTTCACGTAATTGTTACAAATAAAACAATGATGCACCAAAATTTCTACAACTTGTGAGATGAGGTGCTTCTTCTATTACATAATTGTAATTACTAATTATATTGGCTTTGTTAAAATAAAAATTTATGTACTACATACAATGCTGGTATGTGAAATACTTCAGCCTTAAAATTGAACCCACTATGACATATGACATATATCATGCAAATGTAATAGCCAAAAACATTGTACATGGTAAATATAAAATTAAATTAAGACATCATCATTAAGAACAAAATATAATATCTTGATATCCAATAAAAAATAGGTATTATACAAAATTTTGACACTTAAATCAACTTGCCATTAACAAAGATGCTTCAAGTGGTAATACCAGGTGCTAATCTCTTCTGATATGAACAACTAAGTAGTCAAAATAGTTTAAATGACCTCAAATAATAAATGAAATGCATATGCAATGTACATACAAGGACTAAATGATGAGAAATTTAGAAGTGGTTTACAACACATCTGATCATCCCAAAAAGGAAATATTATAAATAACGTGGGTACCTAGTTAATCTGTGTAGTTACAAAATATCATTAAGAAGCACCAGTCTTGTATAAATCCTATTGTAATCTAAGCTGTCATAAAAACTGTGCTATTGAAAACTACTAGATCTATTTTCAGAAATGAAACATCTAATAACGAGTTGTGAAGTATTTTTAAAATGTTCAACTCCTTTATAAGGGTGTTCAGTTATGAAATAATCAATTACTTAATGAAATGAAATATGTTAATTTGGGTAAAATTAAATTAAATAAGGGCAAACACATAATTTCAATATCCTACAGAAAAAATTAATATTCATTTAAGAAAAAGATGTATAAATTTAAGAGTGAGGCACATTTAATCTGATGATTACAATTTAGAGTACAGAAGAATATAAAATGAGACATATGAGCCAGATTATTAAAGATAAATATGAAGATGGGAAGCTTATCATAAAAAACACAATACAAATATAAGATTTATAAGATGCTAATATGATCACAATGATATGCTAATCACATATAAACCATTAAAAATCAATTATCAGGGAGAGTTGTGAAAGGACAACGATTACCTCTGTATATAAAAGAAAAGGTGTCAACATTTGAACAATATAAAATTGTAAAAAGCTATACATGGTATTTATTTTAAAATAATTAAGCAGTAACTATTTTAATTGGGAATGTCCTCCAACTAGGTAGCCAGAAGACATCACAACTGGATTCAGGGTGCTCAAGATTGGATGCAATGGAATTATTTACAGAAAGCCTATGTTCAGCAGTGGGGTCAAAACAGCTAATGATAAGAGTGATCTGCTGCAGTAAAACTGTTTGCTTTAGTTATTTACTGTTACTGTTTAATTAGTTTAATACTGTAATAGCATTGCTTAAAATGTTTATAGTTGTTTCAACTTATCAAATATCATACTTTCAATAAAAATTTAATACATGCCAAGGCTCACATTAAATATCAAAATAATATAACTACAATGTCTTTGCTACGATGTAAATTGATTCAAAACATCCAGTAATTACTTTTTATAAATGTTAACAATCTAAACTCAATTCTATAAATAATTTTAGATACTGCTAAAAGAAATATGTAGTGGTTATAGTAAACAAATGGTTCAGAAAGGATTAAGAAGCCTCTTTAAACAGTGACCTGAACCGTGAATTGTATTTAGCAGAATTTTGGTCAAACATATCAAGCATATATAACTGTCGCTACAGCCACACAATCCACAAAAAGTTAGAAACTACTATAATTCTTATAAGTCACATCTTGCATAGTGTCACAACTAGGAAAAAACTATCAAATATAGTGAATATTGAATTTAATTTCTTTGAATATAAAGATTAGCACACATTGGTATAAGAAGTATCAAAATGGGTCATATTTATGTCCCTTCAAACCTATTTTCAGAAATAATATTTGAGTCTGACATGCTTTTAGCCATAATGACCAAAAAAAAACAGTTTTTTAGAAAAAAAATATTTCTATCATAGTCCTCCACGTAATTTTAAAATCATCCAAAACAAAATCATTTACAGACACAAAAAGTTTCCTTGTATAACAAAATGTTCATAGTTAAAGTATTTAAACCAATCTTATTTACTATAATATTTACAAATTCAAAATTAGCACTTACCTTTCCCTGGATTTCTCAGAAATGCGAATAAATTCAGTCTCAGTTTCAGTTACTCTTGACTTTATATATCTGTAGTTTTCTAGATCTTTCGTATAATCGTTAACAGTGCCTGCAGTTTGATATTGAGACTGCAAGTGAGAATATCTGTAGTCAAAGTGTTGCTGTTGAGTGAATCCAGAAGAGGATGCTATATAAGATGCAGGTATTGGAGGAGGAGGGTACGAAGGAACTGGAGGATAACTGTACACGTTCGTAGATGTCTGTTGTGATTGAGACCACTGTGTATAAGAGTAGCTAGATTGGGGTGGAATGTGGGGATTGTATTGAGCTTGTGTAGGTGGAGGATAGTTTAAGTTGTCATAGTACCATTGGTGGTCGCCCATAATTTATGTATGGCGAAGAAAAATCATCGTTCTTTTAACTTTTAATCACATTATTCACTTGTTATATACTCTGTTTAATACATTAAAATGCTCAAAAATATAAATTATAATTAAACAAGACTGTAAATATTGTCGAAATCTTGTCAACGTCAATCTTCTTCTTTTATTCCTGGGAGGAGTGATTTTCAATGGATATATTGATTCTCTGAAGTTCGCCAAGGGCAGTGGTGTATCAAAAATGTTTTGTAAGGGACTTGCAGAAACTTCTTTTTGTGCAAGATCTAGTCAATGTATTTTTATTTAAATATGCGCCATTCACGAATCTATAGCAATTTTTCCTTTAAATATCTGAAATTTGATTTTCCATAGTTTTTTAAGGTGGAGTTTAAGTTAAATTAAGTAAAGACTTAAACCAAGTTACGGCATTCCTCATTTCACATGTACTACAGTTTAACAGTTTAACAGTTTAACATCCCATCATCTGCATCATCATCATCTGAGTTATCGCTTTAAAAAATAACATATCACAACACAAGCCCTATTTAGAGAAGATTATTATTAAATGACATATGTCACTCGTAAGAGTGACCCTGACTGCTTCAAAATAAAATTAAATTGCGTGTTTAAAATCTTTATAAATTATGTAAAGGAATACAATTTTAATTAATGTCTGTTATTAAACATTTTACAATGGCTAAAATAGAAGCCGCTGTGCTGAAAAGCAAATTTAAAGGGTGTCTTCTCGGAGCACTCGTCGGAGATTGTACTGGTTCCCCGTTTGAAGGAGACACCATCACCCATGGAGACAAATTAATCATTCAGAAGTATTTCGATAGAATGCAAGATCCTACCTTCAGCGGTAAAAATTGCATCTAAAAATTGTTTGGATGTATTAAATACCAATTGTATTTTGTTTTAGCTCCATATAAATCCTACACAGATGACACAGCTATGATGAAGTCAGTAGCTAAATTTTTGACTGACAAACCAGAACCTGACTACAAATTTCTAGCTAGACTATTTGTTAATGAATATTTCAAAGAACCCAAACGCGGATATGGACAAAATATTGTAGATGTTTTTCGTAAACTGAAAAATACCAAATATGAAGATGTTTTCAAACCAGCTAAAGAACAATTTTTAGGTACAGCTGAACCGTTTCAAATTTGGTGTATTTTGTCAATTGGTTTTATAGAATTCACATTATACCTTTAAATTTCATAAAAAAAACTTGTAATCTGTAACTAACATTAAATAATTATTTAGGGGAAGGATCTTTTGGAAATGGAGGTGCAATGAGGATAGCACCCATATCCCTTTATTTCCATGATAATTACAAAGCCATGGTTGAGGCTGCTACAAATGCCACAAAATTGACTCATACACACATATTAGGAGTAAATGGGGCTATTCTGCAGTCTATAGCTATACAACTTGCTCTGAAATGTGATCCAGAAGCCAAGATTGATGCTGAGAGGTTTTGTGCAGAGCTGTATAGAAGGATGAGAAAAATTGAGAGAGTAGAAGAGGACTTGGATGATATTGAAGAAGAGTAAGCATATTTACTATTCATAGAATCATTTTATTGACTGTTTTGTTTGCTTTAGTGAAAGTGCCAGTAGAAGAGCTTACCAAGATAAAATAAGAATTGTGGAATACTTAATTGGGAAAAAGGATGATGACGAATTAGACGAAGAAGTTATATTAACTTTAGGAAATGGTATAAGTGCCTATGAATCTGTTCCTACAGCCATTTATTGCTTTTTGAAGGCCCTGAAGGAAATACCACATATCCAGGTTTATATTCATATTAAATACTGTGTTGCTTGATTAATTTTACTTACTATTTTGTTTACTTGTTTAACTTGCATAAGAGATTTTGTGTTCAGCAAATCAGACAAAAAAGACTTAATACTGTAATATATTTAAATACATATATGTATAAATAAGAACCAGTGCCCAAAAAAATTATTTGACATTCTCATGTTTGCTGAATATAAATCCCTCATGTAAGTTAAAAAAAAGCAAATGACAAGCTTCTTTTAGACTGACAACATATTCAGAAGAACCATTCAGCATGCAGTGACATTGGGAGGTGATACAGACACCATAGCTTGCATGGCGGGGGCAATTGCTGGAGCCTATTTAGGAGAAGAAGCCATCAATCCAATTCTTGCTAAAAATTGTGAATTTTCTAAAGAAATAGTTGAAGTCGCAGAAAACCTATATACTGCAAAGGAAGGGCCTCCTTAAATTATGTATATGTTGCAAATTTGCTACTTAATTCAATGGAATTGTACTTTGATTAGTGATAACAGTGTAAAAAATTTTCAATGGTAACAATGTTTGTTGCTTGTTCTTTTTGTAGTGTTATAACATGCTGCAATTTCCCAAATTTATGTAACTCTTTGTCTAAGCATATTTTGTTTTATTATATTCCCTTATTAAATGATTTATATAGCAATAATGTAGTTTTATTTTTGTTTGTTGCTGGATGGATAAGGTACACAAAGGGCATATTGCCTCACTTTTATCATAATCATCATTTAGTATTTATAAAATATCTTCAAGCTATCCAATCTTAATGTAAACATTTTGAGGGTTGCTGTATAGTAAGGATAGGACTGATGAAAATGTAAGGTTAGTATTATAAATTTATAAGGTCAAAGGTTCATGATGCAAAATTGCAAGGATAAAAAAATTAATATATTTACTTATTGGCATACTTACAAAGTCTCCAAAAGTAAATACCTAAGTACATTTTTAAACCTAAAGAGCAATAAGTCCCCTATCCTTACCTATATTGTATAAATATAAAAAAAAATTGCTTTTGAAAAGTATAAAATAATGTAAGGTTCTGAAATCTTAATACATTAACTAATAATTAAACAGCATATACAATGCTTTCCTAATTAATTGATATCAATTCATGAAAAACTATTTGGAGAGGACTGAAATCTGTTTTGAAAACAAATGTTAAAATTGTTCTTTAAATTAACATTCCAGTCATAGCGAGACGAAAATGCCACTCAACCTCTAAAAATCATACGAACAAGCTGAATTTTGTCATATTAATATGAGCATATTAATTTTGGGACCCCAAAAGAGATGCAAAAAAATTTACCACTTCTACCCCCGGGCTTCTCCCTAAAATCCCCCCCCCTCGCAGGGTGTAAAAATAAAAAATTCAATTTACTAAGAATCTGTATACCATAGAAAAAATGTAGCTGGGGTAATTTTAAACAACAATGTTAAAAAGCATGTTTTGTGTAGAATGAAGCATTCTCTTAAATGCATTCGATTTTGCATGTCAGTTACGCGCGCGAAATCAATGTTTGATAGAATTTGTATCGGGAATGGATCCCAAACCGGCTCATCATTGGACACTAGGAGGCATGACTGAAGCAGTTTTAATGGCTCCTACACTGCGATGAGGAAAGCAAGGGGAAACTACGATTAAACATCCTTAGTCCCTTATTAGCATGGCAAGTATCAGTATTAATACGTCACAGTTTACGATCGCTACGTGGAATGTGAGAACAATGTACGAGGAGGACACAATGCCATTAAGGAAATGGATAAACTTGCTATCGATATAATGGGTAGGTATATGCACCTACTGCAGACAAATCAGACGAAGAGATCGAAACTTTCTTCTTCTTCAAGTTTCATCTTCTATCGAAGGTTGGAAATCATCACGACTATGTGGACTCTGTTGACTGCCGCTCTAAAAACTTCTGCACTACTGCGTTCAAACCATTCTCTTAAGATCTTAAGCCAGAATTTTGCCTTGCATAATGTAGTCTTATTTGAATTTCGCGCCATTGACAGATCTGATTGTCACTCAATTTGAAAAAAAAGAAGATAACCACACTTTATGTTTAGACTTGACACTTGTGATTATGAATTATGGCCATCTGAATGTTATGAAAACTATTATGTCGAATTATGTACAATTAGTGTTTCTTTCCGCTAAATAAACTTAAGAAAACTAGAACAATATTATTTATTAACGGAGCCTACAGAATCAGAAGTGGGATTACGTGGATCGCCGATATTTTTGCAGATTTAAAAATTGTGTTTAGTATTGACGATAGCCATGCCGGGATCAGACACCGAAATTGAAAATACAAGTGGAAACACCGTCGCTCAGGCGAGTATAGCTGAAATTGTTCATACAGCGGTACAGGCAATCCTCGATTATGAAGAGAAAAAGAAAATTGCCGGTCCAGAAAATCAGATGCCGACACATAACCCCATAAAAATTACTAACAGTGAATTATCAAATTTAATGCCGGAATTTTCAGGCACAGACAAAAGCCAGAATGTTGCAATATGGTTAGAAAGAATAGAAAAAATCAAAACTGTGTATAATGTTCCAACTGATATTTTACAACTGTTAGTCATTGGAAAATTGACCGGAAAAGCGAAGGAATGGTACCTCAGCAAACCAAATTTAATTTCCACAGATTGGACAGGTTTAAAAAATGAAATTAGGAGAATGTATGGGAGAACTTATGATCCAGTGTCGTCGAGAAGAAAGATGGAGACTAGAAGGTGGAAAAAGAGTGAAAGCTTTTCAGCATATTTCCATGACAAACTGTTACTGGGCAACGAAGCAGGAGTTGAGGATGAAGATATGATACATTATCTGATTGATGGGTTTGATGATCGCCTACTTCAAAATCAAGCCAAAATGATGTTATCCACACTCAATAGCACTGAAGATTTATATAAGTTAATGGGGAGTGTTGTTAAAGATGAGGTATCAGGAAGTGGACAAAGGTTTGCTACAGCATCAAGTTATAGGGTAAGTTCTAGCCAGAACCAACCTCATACAGCAACACAGGGTCGGATGCCAGTTCCTGTAAAATGCTTTAATTGTGGTCGTACCGGACACAAAGTGACAGAGTGCAGACAAGCCAAGCGTGATAGGGGATCATGTTTTAGATGTGGAAGCAAAGATCATATGGTAAGAGACTGTCCTAATAGAAACCAGCAAGTGGTGCAACAAGTTGCAGATTCAACTACCCGAGATAGTAATGGAGCCATGGGTCTAGTGGAACGTCCTATGAGCCAAACGGATCCTTTTGTATTAAACCTGGTTCTAGATAAGTATAGCATAACATTAAATGGTATAATAGATACAGGGAGTCCAATATCATTGATATCAGAAAATTTTGTAAAGGCAGAAGATATTATTTCTTCTACTAATATTGAATCTTATTCAGGTATAAATAAATCTCCTTTAAAAGTGTTAGGGTTTTTTTATGACACAGTTATTTTTGATGACATATCAGTAAATTTAAAATTTTATGTTGTTGAGAAAGATTCTTTTAGTTGGAATCTACTTTTGGGTCGAGATTTTATAAACAATGAATCCATAGAAAATATAAGTTTTTCAAATGGTTCTTTTAAAATAAATAAAAACTCTTGTGTACAAACAGAGGAGGACTATCAGTTTCCTTTTACAGATGTTTTGTTTATTAACGATATGGTAAATTTAGATGCAGACTTGAATATTAATTATTGTTTACCTTTTGAAATAACTACTAGTGTTCAAACTTTATTGAAGTCATATTACTTTGATTATGATAAACCATTAAGACCACAGTGTGATTTCAAAGCACAGCTTACTTTAACTAAAAATGAACCTTTTAGTATCAGACCACGTAGACTATCTTATGCAGAGAAAAAGTCGTTGGATGAAATTCTTGCTAATTTATTAGAAAATAATGTCATTAGGGAAAGTGATTCACCTTTCTGTTCACCAGTAGTATTAACCAAGAAGAAGTCAAATGAATATCGAATGTGTGTAGACTATCGTACTTTAAATAAATATCTTATTAGAGATCAATTTCCCTTGCCGCTAATAGATGATCATTTAGACAGGTTAAAGAATAAGAAATATTTCTCTAAATTGGATTTGAAAAATGCTTTTTACCATGTTCCTTTAGATGAAAGTTGTACTAAGTATACTTCATTCGTTACACCTTCAGGTCAGTATGAATTTCTTAAATTACCTTTTGGTTTGAGCTCAAGTCCCTCTATTTTTGCAAGGTTTGTTAATAAAATTTTTAAAGATTTGTGCCAACAAGGAAATGTTTTAATATATTTTGATGACATATTAATTGCTACTCAGACTATCGAAGAAAATCTAGAAGTGTTAAGAGAAGTTTTAATATTAGTTAGCCAGAATTTACTTGAGTTAAGACTAGATAAATGTTCATTTTTGAAAACAGAAATAGATTTTCTGGGTTACAGGATTAATGAAAATGGTATATGTCCTAATAAAGATAATGTGAAAGCTATTGCAGAGTATCCAGTTCCTACAGATACCAAGCAGGTGCATAGATTCTTAGGCCTTGCCAGTTATTTTAGACGTTTTATACAGAACTTCTCTATCATCGCCAAGCCGTTATATGACCTATTACGAAAAAATGTCAAATTTGAATTTACAATGACACATTTACAAGCTTTTGAGAATTTGAAGTCAAAACTGACATCAGAACCTATTTTAGCAGTTTATGATCCGAGTAGGGAAACAGAACTACACTGTGATGCAAGCCAAGTAGGCTATGGATCAATTTTACTTCAGAAACAAAGTGATGACAAATTTCACCCAGTGTTTTTCTTTAGCAAGAGAACAACTGACTATGAGTCTCGCTACCATAGCTACGAACTTGAATGCTTGAGTATTGTGTATGCACTTAAACGGTTTCATGTTTATCTACAGGGAATCCCTTTCAAAATAGTTACAGATTGTGACAGTTTTCGCTTAACCATGAGTAAAAAGGATATAATTCCAAGGATTATGAGATGGTGTTTGTTATTGCAAAATTATGATTACTCTATTGAGCACAGAGTAAATACAAGAATGCAACATGTAGATGCCTTAAGCAGAGTGAGTTATGTACTGGTATTAGAAGGAAATACTATTGAACAAACTTTGGCTTTAAAACAGTCCAAGGATACAGTTATTTCAGATCTTCGAAAAAGACTTGAGGAGACAGATCATCCTTTCTTTGAATTAAGAAATGGGTTAGTATATAGAAAACTGAAAGATAACATTGCATTTTATGTACCAGAGAGTATGGAGTCAGCAGTTATCTATCACTATCATAATGAATTGGGTCATTTCGGAACAGACAAAACATTTGAAATTATTTCCAAGACATATTGGTTTCCAAAATTAAAATTTAAGATTGGAAATCATATTCAAAATTGCTTAAAGTGTATTGAATTCAATCCTAAAAGTGGCAAATCAGAAGGATATCTACATAGTATACCTAAGGGCAATTTACCTTTTGAAATGCTTCATATTGATCACTATGGGCCATTAGCTCCTTTTAATAAGAATAAATATATATTTGAAGTTGTTGATGGGTTTACTAAATTTATTAAGTTCTATCCTTGCAAATCAACAAATACAGGAGAAGTAATTAAATATTTAACTGAACATTT